GGAAAGTCATTTTAATTCCAAGAAGTTCTCACCAAGAAGGTGACATTGATGCCAAGTTTGAAAGATAATTGATTTCATGTAACCCAAGGTCTCAAGATGTCCCTTCCTTCATTTCTCTCAATGCTGCTGTTTCCCATCTCAGTCCCTTGGTTCAGGTCTCCACTCCTTCACTTGGACATCAGCCAGCAGTCCCCTGGCTGGTTTCCTTGGCTGGAGATTTTCCTTCTCCCACCCACACTCAGCCTGCAGCCACCTAATTCTTCTAAATAAAGCAAATTATGTCATTACCATGGCCTAATGTCACTGAAGGATTTCTAGCATCATCAGGATAAGATGCACAGTGGGGATTCAAGGCTCCCGGTGACGATTCTGCACACCCCCCAGCTTCTCTGCCACCTGCACACCCCACCGACTTTGTCTCCATACTTCAACAGCTCTGAATTAGAACTTGTCAACTGCCTACTTTGTCCCCCAAACTTGTCACCAACCCTCCCATTCTGTATCTTTCCGTTTTGCACAAGGGGAAGCACCTTCTGCCCGTCTTAGGGGAACCCTTCCATCCTCCCCCAAAGGTTGCTCTTCCTCCCTGTCCTTTCCCTCCTCTGAATCTCCAAAGCCCTTCTCTCCTTGACTCTGTCTCATCAAGGCAATCCCACTGCCCACAGTGTACTCCGGAGTCATCTGCCTTTTCCTCTAGGACCTCTCTAGCTGTCACCCTCTAGTAAGAAAGGGGTCCTTACACTTACTGACATCACTGCCTCACCTGAGGTTCATTCCCTGATCCACTGCAACCTGGCACCTGGCTACAGATGTAGAAACAGAGGCATAGAAAAGTTAAGTTACCCAGGATTGCATAGCCTAAGAGGCAGAGCTGGGGACGCAAATCCAGCCAGCCTGGCCTCAGGGTGTCTGCTTGTAACCACCACATCTACCAACTCTCATCCACCTAGAGAGGTGGGGATGATGGTTACCCCGACACAGAGGAGGAAACCAACCAAACTGCTCTGTCACATGCAAGCATCAGCCATTGTGTCCTTTGTGGCTGCCCTAAACATGTTTAGGATTAAACAAATAGTGACAGCCTACAACATTTTGGTCTGTAGTGTTCTTTGACAAGATCAGTTAATCCTCTTATCCTCACAGGTAAGCCAGGTGGGGATCTTGATCTTCATTTTCCCCAACAAGAGGTTGTCTGGGATGCAAGCCAGGGTTCCCCACACTCAGGATGTAGCCTCCTTGGCTGCAACTCCCAGGCCCTGCAATCGTTTAACTCGGGGTCTGGCAGATGGGCAGATACTGAATGCTGGCTGCTATCTGACAGATCCAGATCCATGGCTGTTTAGACTGGTGGGGGCCTTAGTGACCCATCGAATGATAAGATTAGTCAGCCCTGCCAGGCACCTTGCTAAGCTCTTACCTGGACAGCCTCTGGCCTTCTTTGATCAGTAGAGCCATACAGCCAAGGCTCATTTGCTGTGGTTCTCTGCCTGTCACTTAAGGAATAGCCAAAAGTGTGTTCTCCTTTTTCGGGAGTCTGAGCATGAGAGTATGTCAGGGAAGGAGGAAGATCAGGTTGGATACTTTAGTTCAATTTTCCGCCTTCCAGTTTGCAGGCTCTGTCCAGTTGTGGTTAAACAGCCTGGAGTCCCCTGCCTCTAGAACAGTGGTTCTCAACCTTCTGGCCCTTTAAATACAGTTCCTCATGTTGTGACCCAACCACAGAATTATTTTCGTTGCTACTTCATAACTGTAATGTTGCTACTTTTATGAATCTTAATGTAAATATCTGATATGCAGGATGGTCTTAGGCGACCCCTGTGAAAAGGTCGTTTGACCGCCAAAGGGGTCTCGACCCACAGGTTGAGAACCGCTGCTCTAGAAGGTCCCCTGGACGCAGCTGCTGAGGGAAAGAGCAATGCCAGACCCACAGCTGGTGATGGTGAGCAAGTCACCGAGGCTGCCAGAGCCTCCCTTGTTCCCTGACCACCGGTGGGTGATCCCGAGGATCATTCAGAAAAGGAGAGGCTGCTTTACTGAAAAAATGGGAGACCCATCTGACCCATGATCAGTGCTTGCTCGTCAAAAGGACCAGTTTATCATAGCCCAGCTCCTTAGCCTCCAAACTCTGTTATCTTTCCTATTGCATTGACCTTAAGTCCAGATTCATGGATGGATTAACGCAACAGATCTTCCCTGAACCCCTAGTGAGGTGCTTGGTGGCACTTGGTATTGGGACAGGGAACACAAGTGAAGGAAAAGGCAGGGCTGTCCATTATTCTGTGACCCTTGAGCCAGTGTCAGGGGAAGACAGAATGCCCAAGAGAAGGCAGCTTTCAGCAGGAAGGTCCCTGGCCATTTTTGTTTTTAACATACACATGGAAAAGTCCCATGTGTGATGAGTAAGTGGACATACCCGTGTAACTACTACCCAGCTCAAGAAACAACATGACCAGTCCCCTCCCAGTCTACCCCCCCCCCCCCCCCCCCCGTCCCCCCCCCCCCCCCCCCCCAACTTCTAACACCATAGATAGGGTTTGCCTATTTTTGAACTTTAAAGAAACAGAACCATCCGGGGCTTCTTTCACTCAATGCTGTGCGTGTGAGATTCATCCTTTTGATGTTAGTAGCTGTCGTTGGTTCATTCTCAGTGCTGTGTGTCAAATCCCAATTCGATCACAAAGGATCTGCTTTCTGGAGTTTTGTTTTGTTTTTAATAACTAACCATGTTTAAAAAGCCATAGCCAGTATTGCAAAAACAAAACATTTAGAGTAATATTTATGAATGCAAGCATAAGTTATTTTTTTTGCCTTCTGTAATCATCTTTGCAATGCTAAAAGTAAGTTCCAACTGTGGTTCTTTTGAGAAGCTGCAGGTGCACACAGTTGACCTACTGATTTACCGTCTCAAAGTATTCTTTGGAAGCAGTCAGGTGTGGCTTGATCATTGGAGAATCCGGGGTCCAGTTTGCTAAGCAGACTTCTCCATGGACTCCCACAAACTGGAATGCTTTCACCAGGCAGAGGCCTACTGGGAGATCATTGACATTCAAATGCTTGATGACTCCATTGGGGTCAGTTAGGAAGAGACCTCTTAGTGTAAGACCAGGACCTTCTAACAGCACATCTTAGTCTCGGGAAGTCTGTTTAGTCAAATCTGACAGTAGCGCGATATTCATGCGGCCCCAACAGCCATTCTCCCTCAGTGTGGTGATCCAGGCTAGACGGCTATAGTGGGGAATCCGCTGACCCTGAAACAACTTCACAGTTCTCATCATGAAACTCATTGGCTTTGTCATGAAAAGCAATAATTTCTGTAGGGCACACCAGGTGAAATCCAAAGGAGAGAATAAGCGGATCAAATACTAGTATTTCTCCCTTAAGTCGTACAGGCTTAGTTCTTTGAACTCTCCTTTGACAAGGCTGTACCCTTAAAATAGGGTGTGTGCTGAGCAAGGGATGAGGAACTAGTGCTAAAAGCAAATTTTGCTTGATTGGAAGGAAACCACAATACATTTGTCAAGCAAATTCTTCTAGAAGCAGCAGGCCTAAGGGCTGCCAAGGCAGAGATACCCCCAGGAATGGCCCTCACAAGACTAGCCACTGAATTGAGCAACCTCCCTCACCTTGGGGAAAAGGAGGGAGGGGAGGACCAAAGCCTCAGGGAGAATGAGATAGGGCCTGTGGGGGTGGGGCAGGAAGCTGGATCTGGTCCACAGAGGGCTTGGGGTTGCTTTCAGTTTTGGGTGCCCTATTCATGTTCCAGTCCATGTCTCTTGGTGAGCTTATGTGAGTTTTATTTGGGATGCAGGCCTAGAGTAGAATGACTGGGTCATAGGTATGCATTTATTCGGCTTTGATAGATACCAGCAGGAAGGATTTAAGCAAGTTGTTAGAATTTCCAGACCCTAAAGCTCCTGGTCAACCAACTCCCGCCCCAGAGGAGGAGCTGTGAAATGTGCTTTGGAGAAGAGTGGGGAAGATGCTGGATTAGGCAGCCCTTAGGGGTGGGGGTGGGCAGTCCTTGGCTCCTTCCTGTCGGGTTTTGGTGCCCTCTTCTTAGTCTGGGGTTTCCAGACTGTACTCCTGAGAGGTGTCTGGGGCTACTTGGGAGGGGAGGAATAAGGGGGCTTTGAGCTTCACTTTCCTGCTTTGGCCACAGCACTCCGTTGACCTTTGTTTCACACAGCGGAGTTCTGAGAATGACTTCATGTGTTTTTGAGAGTTTTCCTGCGGTGTTTGAAAATGCATTGCTCTAAGGTCCCGTTCAGCGGGAAAATTCTATTTTGGGAGCAGGAGGTGGGTGTGGGAAGGGTTAAGCATTATTCAGCCAAAGAGCCAGTTGGCCTTTTAAAGTTCTTATAGCTCGGTTTGCAAAGCGGGAGATCTCACTCATAACATTCTATAAAAATAGTGTTCAAACAAAACAGCTTCCAAAGTCTAAAGCAGCGGTCGCCAACCTTGCGGACCTCACTTGCCAACCTTGCGGACCTCACGGACCCCCAGTGGCTGCTGGTTGGCGACTGCTGGTCTAAAGGATGCAGAGGCCAGGCTTCACTCCGAGGAACATATAGGCAGCATTTCAGCAACAGTCTTGAGGACATTGTACTTCCCCCATCCCTCTACATTTAAAAGTTTATTTTAGTTTCATTTTATATCTCCATTGGCTGTTCCTAATAGTAGTCACTTGGGGTTGTTTGGGTTCAGGACAGTTCCCATTTTTGCCAAGGAGTGGTGACGTGGGCGGCCTGAGTGTCCCTCTCTGGGGTGGTAGCCTTCCCTCCTCCGACAGCAGGCCTAGTTTGGACCTGTAGTTTCACTTGATGAAGGAGGCTGGGCTGTTCATGGGCCCAGAGAGAAATATGCTCTGCCTTGGCATGTAGCTCTTAGTCAACAGTCTGATAAACAGCTATTTCCCAGGGCCAGCAGGGAACAAAGCCTCTGGCTGCTCTGGGATTTGTCTGCCCCACTCTTCCTGAAACAGCTGTTTATTCTTTTGACAGGAGTTGGACCACAGCACCTTCCCTTCCTCCCAGCCCTGCCTCCTTCTGTAGAACGGAGCTCAACAGGACTTTGTTATTTTGCCTTTTACTCTGGGAGGAGAGAAGCAGACGATGAGGTATGTGAAATGTTGGAATGATCTACTTCTGCCTTGTTGGGGTCACTGGGGGAACTGTGAGCAGGCAGCAGTGAGGATCTACCTGGGGGAGGACCCTCGCTCTCCCCTAACCTCTTGCTGGTTCCCCCCCCACTCAGTAGTTCTGGAAGAAGCCAAAGTCCTTCTGTCCCCGGCATGGGATCAAGAAGTGGAAGCTGGCAGTTGTTGGCTCAGGGACATCACTGTAAGTTTTCCTGGATTTGGCTTCCCCTGGCAGGACCTCTCGGGGCTGTGGCTGCAGCCTGGGGTTTTCTCTGCAGGACTCAGGGTGACAGTGCAGTTCTTGCTGCCCCCCCCACTCAGTAGTTCTGGAAGAAGCCAAAGTCCTTCTGTCCCCGGCATGGGATCAAGAAGTGGAAGCTGGCAGTTGTTGGCTCAGGGACATCACTGTAAGTTTTCCTGGATTTGGCTTCCCCTGGCAGGACCTCTCGGGGCTGTGGCTGCAGCCTGGGGTTTTCTCTGCAGGACTCAGGGTGACAGTGCAGGGGTCACGTAGGTGGATGTGGAGCCCTCTCCGTGCAGTAGACTCTTTGTTTACTTTACCTTATTTCTCTTGGAAAAATCCTTGCACAATGTTGGGATCATGCAGCAAGGCAAAGCTGGCTGGATCCAGGCTTCGGATTTCCAGAAGGGACTCAAGAAAAGGTACAACAAGATGTATCTTAGAGAACAGGTTGTACTGTTTGTGACGGCTGGAGTGACACTTAGCCATGTATTTAGTCTGAGACTTGTCTGTTTCCTCCGTCTGTGTTTACCCTGACCCTCATAATGAAAAACTTAACTGGAAACAGCCTTCTATGCACTCTGTTTTTCCAGGAGTTATACCATGTTTCTTCCAATGGGGAGCATTTCCCTACAATGCCCACCAATTTATTTATTTATGTAAACATTTATTTAATTATTTATTTTAGAGAGAAAGGAGAGAGAGAGAGACTGATTTGTTGTTCCAGTTATTTATGCATTCATTGTTTGAGTCCTCTATGTGCCCTGATGAGGATCGAACCCAAAACCTTGGTGTATTGGGACAACACTCTGGCCAGTTGAGCTACCCGGCCAGGGCCTACACCCACCAATTTAGAGAAGTTTTTGGGTAAAGCAGCACCCTCCCTCTTCAGCTCCAGAAACAGCCCCCTGTCAGGAGCTGGGCCTGGGAGTCATAGGGTCTGCTTTTCAAATTGGCATCTCCTTCTGGGTGAGCTTGCCATCTCAGCCTCCGCTAAAGCTCAGTTTCCTCAGTGGAAAAGCCACGGCACTGACCATGATGAGGGATGAACAGATGGAGTGAGTGAGTGAGGAAGACCTGCACCAGGCACACAGGAGATGCCTGGGAATGGCAGAGGAGCCAGTGCTCACCAGCTGGTCAAAGGGGAAGCCAGCCCCTCAATGAGGCTAGCCCCAGATTGGCTAGCTTTGGGCCAATCACTCTGTGATTATCATAAGAGGCAAAAAGAGAGAATGTCCCAAAGAGACCTGAGTGATTAATCCATTGTAAGCCCTCATGTTTTCTGAGAACAGAGTGGTGAAAATGGTGGGCACCAGAGGCCAATGTCCTGGACCTGGACCTGAGTCCCGGCTCTACCATTTCATGCTGTGTGACATTGGGCAAGTTACTTAACCTCTCTGAGCCTCTATTTTCATATATTTAAAATGGGGATAATTCTAGAGTGACTTCACAGGGTTGCTGTGAGGCTTACCTTGAGAAACTGCTGACAAAGTGGTTAGCCCAGGGCCTGGCCTGATTCAGTCTGAGAGCATCAAGTGTTGTTAGGGCCTGAAGCTTATTCAATTTTCAGGGTCTTCTTTAGAGAAAGAATGTAAAATTGCAAATACAATATTAGTCATGGAAATGGATATAGTTGACCCTTGAACAACTAGGGTTTGAATTGTGTAGGTCCACTTATACATGGATTTTTTTTCCCAATAAATACTGTAAACATATTTTTCTTAAAATTTTCTTTAACATTTTCTTTTCTCTAGCTTATTGTAATAATACAGTATATAATACATATAACATACAAATATGTGTTAATCAACTGTTTGTGTAATTGGTAAGGCTTCCATCAATAGTAGGCTATGAGTAGTTAAGTTTTGGGGGAGTCAAAAGTTATATGAAGATTTTCAGCTGCAGGGATTCAGCACCCCTAATCCCTTCATTGTTCAAGGGTCAATTTTATTTAGAATATGAGCAGACATATCACAAAAATTACAAAAACTGACAGATACTCCAAATAGGACAAAATCCAGACAACAACATCATAATAAAATGATGTGAAAACAATGTAAAAATGATTAGCAGTATGTAAGTGTCTAATGCACCAGTCATATTTTGGCTGCACATTCTTGGGTTGCCTTGTTGTCTGACAGTGATTTTGTAGTATCATTTTTAATAGAGACAAAAGAAAGACAAACCAGTTTTGCCTCTAGCAGTGGTTAATCAGCGGTTGCTTTTTATTACTGAGCGTTTAGAAAAGTTTCCTTCAGCTTCACAACTTATTATTGGTGGTGCCTCATTTGGAAGTCTTTTGGCAGTTTCTTGCTCAGGTGGCTCCAGGCCAGAGCACCAGACAACTCAACTCTTGATCCTGGATGGGGTCGTCTGGAGGTTATGGGCATGAAGTCATGATCATCAAGACCCCTGAGCAGGGAGCAGAGCAGCATCTAGTTCAGCTCTTTCTTCTTTCGATAAAAGGAAGGGCTCCTGTGGGTTACAAGGTCCACCTAGGTTCGGTTGTCACAGGGACCCAGGCGGGTGTGCAGCCCCAGACCAAGCACCAAGGCTGGAGTGACTCCCCAAAGCAGGGGACATTCCTCACTTCTGGGAAGCATTAAGGCCTTCCCACCCCCCAACTTACTCTTGCAAGGGGCCTGTCGCCAGGCTTTATTGGCTTCTGGGTAAGTAGGCCTCTTGGCTCAACTCCTGTTGGCCAGTAATCTTATCATTTGATTGGTACTTGAAGGAATCTATGGGGCCATTGCAGCGAAATGTGCTCCACGTGGCTAAGTGAACTAACCTCTTACAATGAGACTTCCAGCCATGGTTGATTTCCAGGCAGTGGGGCAAATACGAGGAGCAGCTGGGCCTGAGTCCTGGGCAGTGGTGAGGGGAGCTGACTGCCACAAGTCACAGTGGGGATGGGGGTGGGCTTGCCTTGAGCTTCTGTGTGGTGCTGCCCTGGGGGCCCACTCGCCTCTCAGGTGAAGCCACCTCTCTGCCTTCAGAGCCACACATTAAAAAGTGTCATCACTGTGGCTGCCATCGGTGGAGCAATTACTAACCACCAGCACAATGTGCTTCCTACACACGGTCTCCTTTTGAACTTTTGAGACCCCCAGAGGAGGGTGCTTGATGCTGCATTTTTTTGTGTGAGTAGTGGCTCAGAGAGTTGGAAAACTTGCCCAAGGCCTACGGTGCTAAATGAGTCAGTGCTAGCCTCATTTCTACCTGGAATGTTGAATCTAAACATTGCAGTGGAGGGTGTGGAGGACAGAAGATAGTTTTCCCCAAGGTCTTTAATGCCCAATTCTCCTGCACCTTCCCCTCCCCTTACCTGTTCACAACACTTGTCACTCAGTCTTTGACTCCATCTCCATCGTCCTGGAGTGAGTGAGGCTGTAGCGAGCAGGGGATGGGGTTCAGGGCTGGGGGAGGGGCCACGGGCAGAGGAAGATTCTTCAGTTGTGGGAAGGTTTGGTTTCCTCTGCCACTGCTGTCCCCCTGCAATTCCGGCTCCTGGAGATAATGGCTTTTCCAGGGTTTCTGAGCTGTTACTCATCTGAGACCTTCACCTTTCCCCTGACATGAGATGAAGAAAACAAAAGAAAACAAGGTCCACGATCCACTCCAATTCCTTTCAGAGAGGATTTCTGTTTGGAATCCCAGACCGAAGTTGTGTGTGTGTGTGTGTGTGTGTGTGTGTTGTTCTGTGTGGGACAGGTTGGGGGTGGGGGGTAAGGTAGAATTAATTTATGAGCACGCTAGGGAAATAGAAGTGGAAAAGGAAGATGAGGAGGGTAAAACCGGAAAGGTGGAGAAATAACAGGCTTTACAAGGTGACCCTGCCCTTAGAAATGCCCCCAGGTTTTTAGCACAATCTGCATGTGTTCCAGGAGGTGGAGGTGTGAGTGGGGGTGGGGGTGAGGGGGGTGTGGA